TTATCTTTGTTAACTTTGCCTTCCATTATATGAAAAAAACTGAAACTTAACAAACTTTCTTTAAAATATAGTTTATATTTCACAGAAGAAAGTCATGCATTTGTGATATGGCATGAGGTGAACAACACAACTTACAGTTTTGGGTAAACTATTAGCTTAAAACTTAAACATGGACAACAATTAATTAGTTTTTCCACACAGGAAGCGAGTGGTCGCACATTGAGTTAATGCACAGGGGAAAAAGCAGGCTGCTGGTAAAGGCCTGTGTACATTAAGCTACACATTTCTCATCTAAAAGGAAAGGCAATAGAGAATTAACCCAATTACAACCCAAATTACAAATAAAATCACTGGGTGGAAAGTTGGAATGAACAAAATCAAATGTAATGTTTTCATGAATTACTGTTTGTACGAATGAATGAATCAGTGTTTGAGTGAATAAATAAATCAGTGTTAGATTGAATTAGCTTTTGGGTGAATGATTGAATGAATAAATGTTTGAATGAATCAGTGTTTAAGTAAAAGAATAAATGAATAAATGACTTAATAATTGTTTGAATTAATCAGTGATGGGGTGATAAGGGGTACATGAATGAATCAGTGCTTGATTGAATCAGTGTTTGGGTGAATGATTGAATGAATGAATGAATGAATGAAAAAGTGTTTAGGTGAATTAATGAATAAGTGAATGAATCAGTGTGAGTGACTGAATGAATCAGTATTTGAGTGACTTAATGAAAGAATCAGTGTTTAAGTATACGAATGAAAATGTTTGATTGAATAAAGGAATGAATTAGTGTTTGCATGAATGAATGAATCAATGAATGAAGTTGGACTGAATCAATCAATGTTAAATTGAATGAATGTTTAAATTAATAGACGCAATCTAGTACAACAAAAAGGAAAAGGAAAAGCAGACCCGCTGTGTCAAACTAGCTGATAAAATTCAGCACATGAACCACATATACATGCTTGAACATGTAGACTAAATCTACACATGCTAAACCCCCACAAACACACACACTTGCCTCAGATAAAGCAAATCTCGGCTTTCGTAACCCAAGCAGACAATGTTAGTCGGTGACAGAAGGTTAAAGAGGGTAGTGCATTAAGCTCTGAAGTAACAAAATCCCTACAGGCCCGAGATCTCCATCACAGGCATCAAATTACAGACACAAACTCAACTTTTGTCATCACATTTGAACTCGGAAAACCATTAGGAAAGGAAGATCTTTTTGCATACTTGAGAAACAAATATCTTAGGGTTTGACAGAAAAGTCAGAAGAACAAATGACAATAGTATAAAAACTACAAACAATTTGAACACATTTTATCATTAGCACAGTAAAGTAATAAGTATTGCTGTGTGTGGTCTAGACAATGTGTTATTTTAAACACCTAGAGTGTATTCGCAGTACAACAGAACAACGTGGCCAGCACAAACTCAAAGACATCCAGCAGAGCATCACTCACTCATAACAACTCTGATTCAAACAGATCAAGGCAGACGTCTGATGAATCATACCCGTCTTAATCACCTCCATTTGTAGAGACTCAAGGTTGTAATTAAGTCTGTGTACATTTAAACATAGACAAAGTCCAGAAGCGTAACAGAACTGTAGCTTGAGCAGTAGGGAGCAATTCTAAACCCAAACCCTACAATTTCTCAGAAACAGACCACAAACCCATTCATTGTTTGGCATCTTGTCCACAATTAGGACATGATTTCTTCTCAGCTTCTTGTAGGTGTAAAAAGTCTCTTCTGCAACAGCAATGCTCTTGCCAAGCTTTAAAAAGAACAGTTCAGCTGAAATTAATGAAATCTTCTCACTCAACATTAGTTTTTTCATGTTTAAAGGGATAGTTCATGCAATAATTTAAACTCTGTCATTTATTCCCATACCAAGGATTTCTATTTTCTTTTTTGTTCTGTAGAGCACAAAAGAAGATATTTTGAAGAATGCTGATAACTAGTAACTTCCACAGTATTTGTTTTTTTTCTACTATGGAAGTCTTCAATATCTCTTCTTGTGTAGTAAAGAGTAAGGAAATGACGACAATATTCATTTTCGGGTGAACTAAGCCATTTTTATACTGTAATAAATTTGTTAGAGTATTCCACTGTACAAAGTGTTATATGAACGCAAAAGTAGTTCAGTTTTCAGTTAAAGTTCAGTTTAGTTTAGTTCAGTGTGGTTTAATTTTCACTGCTGAGAGTTTTAACACTGAAAAGCAAATCCATCAATGGGCAGCTTCACGGGTCACGAACCAAGCAAGCCAGTAGCGACAACAGCGAGGAAAAAAAAAAACTTTAACAATTGGCTAAAATGGAGAATTAAAAAACCTAGAGAGAAACCAGGCTCAGTTGTGCACAACCATTTCTCCTATGGCCAAACGTCTTGTGCAGAGCTGCAGTCTAGGCGCCAGAGGTTGGAGATGTCTGCTTAACAAGAGAGATGTCTGCTTGTTTTCCCACCACTGTAATTTTATATTTATTTTGACATTAAGAAGGTAATGTAGATATTAGAATGTAATAGAATGAATTCTATGCTGTAAAGCAGCAGTTCCCAACAGGGGGGTCCCGGCCCACAAGGGGGCCTCAGCAAGCTCTATAGGGGAAACACATTATATTCATTCATTCATTTTCTTGTCGGCTTAGTCCCTGTATTAATCTGGGGTCGCCACAGCGGAATGAACCGCCAACTTATCCAGCACTTTTTTACGCAGCGGATGCCCTTTCAGCCGCAGCCCATCTCTGGGAAACATCCACACATACACTCATACACTATGGACAATTTAGCCTACTCAATTCACCTGTACCGCATGTCTTTGGACTGTGGGGGAAACTGGAGCACCCGGAGGAAACCCACGTGAACGCAGGGAGAACATGCAAACTCCATACCGAAACGCCAACTGAGCCCAGGTTCGAACCAGCGACCTTCTTGCTGTGAGGCGACAGCACTACTACTACGACGCCGACACCTTATATAAAAATAATAATAATAATTTGCAGTGGACAATTAGGAGAACAATCATGTGGCCTTAGTTCATTTTATTCCTGGGCTGACAAAAAAAAAAAAAAAAAATGGACAAATATGTAATTCATACTCAACAAAAAAAGACAAAGTCTCACTGATTCACCTTCAGCAGCTATTAATGACCCAAGCATACTGGACCCAGTTAAGAAAGCTCCAAACATTATGAGTCACAGGGCTAGCAATACTGGAAACACCAATATAGTTACCTGAACCATACCTTTATTTCATTTTCTCGAAGCAATGACTCCCTGACCCAGCCATAGTGTATTATCTGCACCAAGGTTCTTGCAAACGAATGCATGAGAATGTCAAAATTAATAAGACATTTGCAGACGACTCATCTTCAATACCTCAAGGTGACCTAATACAAATGGCCTACTGAGTTGTGCATAAACATATCTAGATATAGCAACAAACACTTTTTTTGACACCTACTGCAAAGTTATACGAGTGATAATATTATTAAATGTGGAGGGGGGCCTTACAATATTTTCCAGGGGAAAGGGGGTCTTAGGCAAAAAAAGTTGGGAACCAATCCTGTAAAGGTCATGCAAACACTCTACACTCTATAAACTCTACTGACTGGCAGTTTGGTGAGGATGATGCATGTATGATTGGTCTAGAGGAGTTCACTATGTATGAGCGCTTGGATATTTGTGGGTCTGTGGTCCTTTACAGACTCATTGGCATTGTCTCTGGCCTATGATCGTTCCTGCTTGTTTCCAAACTTTTTTTATAACTGTAACAAGAAGTAATTTAATCATATCTTAATGTTAAGACGTCTGGCATCACATTATCAATATGTGGACCTTTTTAAATTCTTGGAAGCAATGGAAATTCAATATGTAATGCAAGAAATACATTAGGATCATCGTTATTGTTTACATCCCTCAAAATGGTCCATAGGTGTAGAGAATAGTGTCAAACAGCCATGTGTATATGGCTTATCCTAACGTAAAATGCGGCTGAAAGTCCTACATGACGGTAATAGTTTGATTATGGCGTTTACATGTCTGTACTTCACTTCAGTAAAGCGCTTAAAATCTGAATACTCCACACGTCTTAATTCGATTTGTGTTTATGACAAATATGACTTTAAACATCTAAAGTGCTATTCCATCGCATGGTTTCGAAGTATGGGTAATGTGTGTGTCTGCAGTTGTAGCCTGTGTTGGACCGGACACGGCAGCCATTGAACTCCGTTGAAGAAAAAAAAAAGCTGTTATGTTACACCCGCCCACCCAACCAATGGAGGCCAGCCTGGGTTGCCAGATGTGTACAAAGCACTTGATCTGTGGTCCAAATCCAATCATGCCTCCAATATTTCAGCCTCTGGACTTTTACCCTCACACTCCATCATGCTAACATCACAACTCACGTGGCAACTTCTCCCTTTGACGAGAATTCTTGTCGCCATTTAATCTCGCGAGTTCTTGTAAAATGAGATCGTCACACCTCTAGTTTAGAGCAATTCAACCTTCTTTTTCCCCTCAAAGTACAAAATAATGTTTAGAATATAGTTCCTTTAAGTAGAAGCAACATCTGAACTTTGAACCACATTAGTTAAATAAAAATAAGATGCTAACAAATTTGTTTTAGATTAACATTGCCACATTTTCCTTTATGAAGTTTGACAACACCAAAAGAATATTGCAATTTACACTAAAACACAATATTTTACACTTTTAAATGCTTTAGATGTAGAAAAAATTCTTAAAGCTACAACAATTTTACAATTGACAAGAATTTTATCTAAATAAAAGTTCAACATCTTCCAAACTTCAGAACAACTGTGTGTACAAAATACCTAGACATGAAAAAAATATGAAAAAAAAGAAAAATAAATCTCTAGTTTTGATAACGTTTCAGTTTTGTCAACATTTTTTTTAACAACAATTATTTCCCAAGTCTTCTTAAAAGAATATAACCCAAAAAGCAACAAAAGCTTTCTGCAACTCTCACCTTGTGTAGAGGCAAAACCATGAACGCTCCGCCTCCGCTGGCTTCCACAATTAAGGCAACAAATTTGGGGTTAACTGCACAGAACGCGCTGTCCCATGTGACCCGGGACACCCTGATGTCATCATAGCACTGGTCATTCTTCACCGCCTGGCCGAACACATGCCGGAACTTACTCTGTCGTACAACCCGTTTGAACATATCTGCAAAGGAAAACAAGACAAGAATGATGAATGAAGCCGTCGTCACATGACACAAACGCTTGAGCGCTTTCACAGAGCAAAGCCTTGTACAGCATGTCTACACACATTCATTATTAGCTTATACTGACAAGCACATCAGCAAAAATCTGATTTGATCATTTGTGCACTTTAATCTGTAATTCAATGGTGTTTTCGACAGTTGTCTCAGTGTAAATAGCAGCTTTAGGGTGCGTGAACTGTGTTTTGACTTACTAGTTTAAATATCATTTTCTGATGCTCCGTTTGTAATTTTATTGGCAGATTTAAATATTGTGGTAAGTGTGACCAGCCGTTATCGTTTTTGCAGATTCTGCTTTTACAGATTTTTTGCGGACAGAACATTATTTCTAAGAACTAATAGTAATAACAACAACAACAAATGTTGTTATTATTATTATTTTTTACCTATTTTTGCCAATTTAAGATTCTTTCTAAGAACTAATAATAGCAATAATAGTAGTAACAACAACAACAACAACAACAACAACAACTAGTATTGTAGGGCTGGGCAATTAATCTAAAAGTGATTGACATTCACAACCTATAATCGATCAAATTTTTCCAGAATGTTTTTTTTTTTAATTATTTACTCCACTGCATGCGTGACATGTGACCCCGCTCTGTTAGGATGAGGCTGGTTTATACTTCTGCGGTCATCTCTGGTCAAGTAGGACGATGGACCCGTTCTTGAACCTTCCTTTGCACTACATTGAAGATGATTGTAAGTTGCGCCAGAGATGCAGAAAAACTTAGTAAATAAAAAAAATAACTGTTCATTAATTGTAGTAAATTTAAAAATGTTCAATTAATCAAGATTTTGATTTGAGGCCAAATCGCCCAGCCCTACAATATTGCTAATATTATTTTAGCAGATTCCAAATTTTTTTCAGATTTGTGCCAATTTAGGATTGTTTCTAAGGGCGCCTTCACACTTTGTTCAATTGCCTGGACCATACCCAAGTTTGATTGTCCCCCCTGCCACCTTTTTGGGTGGTTTGTGTTCACACTGTGTCCTTCTCAACCCCGGTGCGCTTGGTTCATCAAGCTGCTGTTGTGTGTACGGCTGTTGCTAGGTGAAGGCCACAAAAGCAAAGCACCAAAACCTAAAGATGTCCGTACAACGCAGTTGTTCTGCTTTTACTGAATCTTTTGGTTTTGGACATACAAAAAGAGACTCGCGTCTGTTAGCCGCAAAAATATTATTAACATTCATAACATCCCACAATGACTGCAGAAGCTGTTTTTGGAGGAGACCATTAAACATCATCACTTTGTTTGCCCTGGCTCAGTCCTGCTTGTCACAAAGGAACAGTACGTGATCTCACATACTCGCACGCACGCAAGCACGCACACACAAATGAACGTTATAAAAACGATAGTTTGTTGTGAAGTTGGTTGTTCCAGAGTTTGTACCCCAGACCACCTCTTTCAGGCGAACTTTGGTACGGTTTGTGGGTGCGCAACCAAGTTCGTCTCAACAACACTGGTCAGGTCAGTCATGTGAAAAAAATATATATAACTAATAATAAAAATAATAATAAAAATACAAAAATAAATAAATAAAATGTAGATTCCTGACCTGTCAATTGGTGTATCTCTAAATATAATATTAAAAAACACACAGTAGCGTTTGCACCTTAAAGTCAATAATTATCAGAGCACAACAGGCACTTTAAAAAGACAGTGACTGATAAAACTGTTCTACATTTGCATAATTTCAGTGTTACACGTAAAACAATGAAATATAATTTAATTTAAGTGAACCTAAAGCAAGTTTAATGTAGGACAAGCTTGATTATCAAGCACCAGATGGGTTCACTATTGCGAATGTGGGGGGAAAAACTGAATAAATGCCCAATCAGAGCATATTACTCACCCCACTTCACACAGCAAACTCCACATGAGCATCAACACATCACATCAGTTTCTACGCTATCTGTTTCAGCTTGTCTTGCTTTAGTTCTAAAACAAACCTGAATTACGAGAACATTCTGTCTTCATGCCATTTCCTAATGAAAACAACTGAGGCCCAAGTAAAACAGCAGAAACTCAAGGGCTGGATCAAGTCAAACTGTCAATGAAACAGACAAGACTAAATGAAAAATATAACCCTCTTTGCTTGGGGGATCAGCAACAAAATGCTTAAGCAAATTATGTAGTTTCAGATTCAGGTTCAGATCAGCACAGTTCGTCTGTATACTGACACTCTAGTCTGATGGTGAAGTATTTGAAGGTAGTAGTGTCTTATATGGCATTGACTTTATATATCTTTTTTTTATATATAGGCCAAGAGATTCTTTTTCTGGCTGACCAACTGAAATGATTTTTATTTACCCACCGTCAGGTTCAATATCATTTAACAAACATGTCAGTAGACAAAGTGTATGTCCTGAAAATAACTGATTTTTATTTGCTTGCATAAATGCATTTCTTTTATTTCAGCTACATTTATTCACTCTGGGAATCATTTCTAATTTTCGTTTTGTTTATATCAATGCATTAAATGATTTTAAAATTGTTCTAAAAATATAATAAAACAATGTAGACACAAAAAAGTAGCAAATTACAAAAATCACATCAAATAAAAGCTTTAAAAATTAAATAAATAAAATACAAAGTTCCAAACCAATTTAAACAACTTACGAAATTCTACGTTTCAAAAACAATTTCTAAAATAACACTTTTGTAAATGAATACACATAGTATTTTACAAAAATTCATATACAAAAAGGGCACATGATATTAAAACCCAATCTATCTATGCACCTATTCTAGATGTGTGATTTATTTACCAGCCTCAGATTTCATTTATTATTCTTTGTCTTTGTATATAAATGTATATGTCTATACTGGAAGTTGCACCGACTAGTCGACTTTAATGCTCTGCCATGATGCTTTTTGATTGATGTTGACTAGTCGTGCTGAGCAGATCACGTAGTTTGACCTAAACTATATGGCTGAACTATATCGGATTATTTAAATTAACTTTTAAAATGTTATTTTTCTTTCATCAGCGTCAAAGATTCATGTGCACTTTAAATCATCAAACACATGCCAGTTAGGTCACTCCATGCAAATGTAGCGTGTGTAAATATCATTCCCGGTGAAGATGTGCAGTGAGGAGACGTCTGATAACCATGATGAGCCAATAACTGCAAAAAATGCCCAACTCAAGCAGGATTTAGAGCAGCTTTCTAGCGCACACCATCATATCGGTAAAATATGCATCTGAACAAGTCTCTGACAGTGTAATAAGGCTTTACGTTATTGGCTTTGTCTGTTGTGCATAACATTGTTATGAATAACTTCACATTAATCTGTGTGCAAAGACTGTATGCCAGGTAGGGCTGTGCCGATAGACGATGCCATCGTCCATTGCTGATGGCAGACAAACTTCACGATGCTGAGCCGGCATCGCAATCCATCGCCCCACCCCACATTTATATTGATATATAACTTATTATTTGCATGTCATCTTAATAGCAATAACGGTATTTTTATGAGCTGTGTTAAATGTTACATATAGCTGCCGCTTGCACAGCTGACAGCATCGTGAGGATTAAATAAAGGATTATACAGTTCCTCTCGCGCTTAAAATGTGTAGATTCAGTGGCAAACGCTGTTACCTGCAACAGACTTTACAGTGAATGGCTTTAGTTATTTTCATAGCGGACTTGAAGCCACTGAAATTCCACTCTTGGAAAAGTGTAAATGGTGGATTAACATTCAGCACATGATCAGTAATAAGATGTGCCATTATTAGCAAATCTGTAAGTATTATTTTCATTCTGTCATCTTCCGCACTTCACATTTTCACAGTTGTATATCCTGTCATCTGAAGGCAGAAGGCATTGACTGAGTGATTGACAGCTGATATCAACCAATCATTCACGTTCAGTTCTAGAGCAGTGAGCCAATAAGAAGAGCACAATGGCGGGGCAAGCATTGCAGGCTTTTTTACTTCAGCAAGTTCACATAACAACTGTTTTAATCTGTTCCTGAGTGCTGCGTTTGGCGTTTTTAGGTGCAAAGATGCATTCTGCATAAATGTCCACTAAATCTCAGCACGTGGTAAGGATTTTGCAGTGAAAACAATGAAAATGTATGCACTACAGTGAACTTCAACCGAACTCTCATTTCCTCCACCAGCTGTGGGAAAAGCTATTAGAAAGACACCGATCACTGTGCCTATTCATGCCAGAGTCCCACTGAAAAAAGTGATTGACAGGTGGTCATTTGTTTGTAACTTTGTTTATTTATGGTTTGGTTATGAGTAAAGTAAAAACCATGTGGGTCAGGTAGCAAAAACGGTAGGCTACGACAACGATGGCATCGTCCATAAAAAGGTTTCATATTAGACATTGTTCGATGACAAATTCAATTCGCCTTTATTTGTATAGCGCTTTTTCAATGTAGATTGTGTCAAAGCAGCCTCACATAAAAGATCATAGTAAATTGAAACAGTGTAGTTCAGTTTAGCTCAGTTCAGTGTGGCTTATTAATCACTACTGAGAATCCAAACACTGAAGAGCAAATCCATCGATGCGCAGCTCTACAGATCCCGAAACATGCAAGCCAGTGGCGACAGCAGCAAGGAAAAAAACTTCACCAATTGGCTAAAGTGAAGAGAAAAAAAAACGAGAGAAACCACTTCTCCACTGGCCAAACGTCTTGTGCAAAGCCACAGTCAAGGCACCGGAGACAGGAAGCTGGACCTCAGCGAAGACTCAGTCCCTGTATCGTCACAGGAATCAGTCTCATGTTCTCCACTCCGCAAATTGGTCAACATCGCCCAACCCAAATGTCAGGGATGTCAAACTAAATTCCTGGAGCGCCGCAACCATGCACAGTTTAGTTCCAACCCTAATTAAACACACCTGATCAAACTAATTGAGTCATTCAGGCTTGTTTGACACCTACAGGTAAGCGTGTTGGAACTAAATTGTGCGGGGATGCGGCCC